ATCTGCTGTCCAACTGCCCTGGCAACCAATGTGGGATATGGATACCATGACCCCTTAAATCCAACCCGATTTGTGGAACCTTGGCTGTTTGGTCGGTGCTGGACCATCATAACTATATTATATTCCATCCTTTTCAATTTTCTGTAGTTCTGGGTGAAGAGCATACCTGTTCTGGACATAGTGCAGTGTTCCCCACTTTGATACCACTTCTCATGGTACATAATTGTTCTCTGAAGACTCTTTCTGTATGATCTCTGTCCTCACCGGTCCCTCCGCCTTCTCAATGTGGGATTCTAGCTACTAGTGTCAGTGGAGGTATGTATGTTTTGGAAGTTATCATTTTCCTAAACTGAAAATGTATTTCCAAACATACTTACCTCTGCTGACACTCTCCCTCCCTTCCTCCCCACTAAGAGCCAGTATTTGTGACCAGAATGTGGCAAGCCTCAAAAGTGATTTTATTGTCTACATACAGTGCTTATGTACAGTACCTGCATAGAGGGTGTGTGAGGGCTGGCGTAAAGTTTTGCAAATTAGATATTGCCGAGGGCAGTCAAGTGGGGTACATAAAGACTAGAGCAAGCGAACACAACGTTAGATGGCAAAGATGAAGATCAAGAAATAGCTATTAGTGTCAGTGGAGGTAAGTTATTTGGAAATCCATTTTCAGTTTAGGAAAACGATAACTTTCATGTTCTTCACTCGTACTCTCATACATACTATCATAGATGTACTTTGTTCTAGTGATTTAGTTGTTCTGTAGTGTCAGGAGTCAAAGAAATGATCTCATGATTTATTGTCTTTTCCTGACATTTTTTTAGCAAATTCTGCTCATTACAATCAAAGGAGATGTAGCTTGAGTTTAATCATTTTAATCATATGGTCAACATGTGTCACATTCAACTAAATATTACTTGTGTTTAGTTTTAAATGTTTTAGTACTTTCATGAGAAATAAAATCCTTCCATAAATACTATTGGTTCTTCATACCCAGACATAACTTTTTGTTATTGTTATTGTTATATTAGTAATAAAATATGAGTATGAAACTCTCACTTTGCTTAATTTATTCATATTCACTAAAGCGCATGACTTTCACCAACTCTAACACCTACTTCTTAAATTTCCGGTAAAAACGTTTTCTTCTTTCTGTAGAATAATATTTCATTGCATAATCCAGCAGTATATCCTTTTTGGGTAATTCTCAACTAATACTCTACAGTTTTAGAATAGTCTCAATATTTCAACCAGTATGCACACAGTTCCTGTCATGGACGTCTGGATATGAAACATAATTGCAAGTATTCATGCATGATGGATAATTGCTCATCTGACTATCTGGGTAACATGTAGACTAAAAGCTAGTTTTCCAGTGCAGAAAATATGTAGTTTCATATCATAATTTATGAAATTATGAAGTTAATATGAGACTTTAATTTTTACAAACCCCTGAAATTATTGTTTGTTTCACAATAGGCAGCGGTTATTTGTTTTGCTGACTCTTTTTAAAAAGAAAAAACAAAATGCCTAAAGAAAAGAGGTATAAATCATTGCTCATTTGAAAGGATGAACTTTTCTAATATACCATAACCTATCATGGATTTTTTGTAAACATTTAGAATGAAATAGGCTTCATTAATGGTTTTAATAATTTTCTTTTTTTTTGTGATCCAAATTTTTATTTGTACTCAGAAAAAATGGGATGTACTGTACCCCAAATGGTGAAAATGAAGGGGCACACTGATTAATAAATCAGCATTCAACCCATAAATAACTCTAAGTCCATAATATGTTCAACAAAATGAAATAACAAAAATTTCAGAAGCAGTTATAAGTCTTCTAGTAATCTATACTGTAAAAAAAATATATATTCTTACTCAGCAATGTAAAGTAGAAGAAATGTTAGACGCAGTAGTTTTGTACAGCATATTTGTATAGTACAGCTGTTATAACGTTTGTGCTAGGACTTGGCTATGGCTGAAAAATATTTAAGAGTAAATGACCTTGTAAAGTAATTACTGCACTTTTTACAGTTGTCTACCTTCTTTCCATATATCTGCTATGACTTTAAGGTAACAACTAGGAATGACAATGGAAAGTTAACAAAAAACTCTTTAATGCTTCTTTTATATATAGATAGATAGATAAATAGATATAGATATTCATTAATGCTTATTTTGTATATTTATTTTTATATTTTCAATTAGAAGTAGTATCAGGAAATGCAGTTATAAAGCCTGTAAATAAAAAAAGTGTGTTTGCAAAATATGCAAATCACAAACACATCAATATGGGCTAGAGTGCTTGAGCTTGAAAAATATTTTGGACATGCAACATCACATCACTGAATGTTTCAGTAGTGACTGATGTGAGTAGAATGTTAAGTATTGATATAATGTGTTCTATCATTGCATAGGTTCTTTTGGGTCATTTGGTTAAAATATTACTATGTCCAAATAACAATAAAGAAGTAACAGAACTTCCTCTCTACTCGATCAAGTAACTGAAAAGATGTGACAACTCTCACTACCAACACTGAACTTAATCACTTGCTGAATTAATAAACTGCTTCACTGATAATCAAATTTATATTTTACCCTTGTTTCTACATACTGCACAAAATTTCTTGATCATTACAACATCATCATCATAACATGATGATACACTTCCTCTAGGAAACAAACATTGAATTAAAATACTAAAAAAAATTGCTTAAAATGTTAGGGTTTTTGTTACAAAACTTTTTTGTTATATAAATTTTGTAGGATTTATATTACTTTTCTATCAGTATATAGGATTAAGCTGATCATTATAAAACAAAATTACTAATATTTATTTCAAGACCAAGAATTGGTATTCAATTGTTTATAGCTTCGTCAAGAGAAAGTCCAGCTTGAACAAACTTTGGAGCAGGAACAAGAAGCCATGGTCAACAAGCTGATGCGGAAGATTGAAAAATTGGAAGCGGAGACTTTAGGTAAGCAGGCCAACTTGGAGCAGCTGAGACGAGAGAAAGTGGAGTTAGAGAACACACTGGAACAAGAACAAGAAGCCCTAGTTAATCGCCTGTGGAAACGTATGGATAAATTAGAGACAGAAAAAAGGTGATAATTTTCACTAGATTTTCAGATGAAGTATATGCATTTTATCATTAAAATTAATGAAAAATCTTTTGATTTTACTTCCCTTTGTAACATTTTAACTTTCTCACATAGTCAGTAATCCAATATCATTTACTCTTGAGAACCCTTTTCCTTGAGGTATGCTGGTCTGGGTGCCATATTGGCATCAGATTCCAATCCTTTTAATTTAGTTTTGACCAAAAATTGCTAAGTATTAAAAGAAAATATTCTATTAACAAAAAATTGTAGTTCTTAAACTTTATTTTCACACATTTTAAAATCTGCTATTAAGAAAGTAGAAATCATTTTCAGTGATATTTTTTGATTGTCTAATCAGTTAAAAGGCACAATTCTAAGTGTAACTTAATTTTTTCCTCAAATTAAGCCTAATATTTCAGTATTTCATGATTAATGTCACAAAAATAACCATCTAATTGAAATTAGTGTTTCTGATTATTCCAACTATCCAAGTAGTCAAAATATTGTCATTACATTTCATATTATTTTCGATTAATATAAGTTGTTCAGCTTACTTGGTGTCGCAACTAACAAAAATAGTTAACTAATCAAAATTGGTGTTTTCAATAATAAATGATTAACACAAGACATTAAAATAGATACACAATTAAAGATGTTTTTTAAATTCAGGCCAATCTTTGGTCTTTAACGTGCTGATTCTACATGTTTCAACATTTACCACATCATCAGGAGTGAACTTGCAAGACATAAGTGTCATATTTATTCCTTCTTAGCTAGGTCATGTGACCTACATGTAGGTTTACTATTTCTGCATAATTCTCAGAGGAGGTCCCACCACATTCTTACACAGATATTTGCTGGACCTTCACCTCTATTTAATAATTCACGATCCTTTTTAAATATTATTTCTAAAGATTTGCTGATACTATTTTCTATTATTCCAACTGTCCGAGTAATTGAAATATTAGCTAATAGGTATTACTACTTCCATTGGTGCATCTGCACATAACAGTATACATGTGTTCTGCTTGTTCACAACTCACAAATGTAAAAATGTGACTTACTGACCATTGGTAATATAACTAGCCACAGTGATGCCTGTTGTTCATATTTATTTTGTATATCTAAATAATAGTGTATCTTTAACTTTATATATTTTTTATTTATTACAAGCTACAAACATAATCATTCTTACTTAGGGTAAAATTGCTGAATAACTTGCTCATTTAACTGTGTTTGTCAGAAGGGAAAAGAAAAGGTTGATGGTCTTTATATTAATAATATTAATGTGTTCTTTCTAAACTACCTTCCATATCAGCAGCTTCTTGTTTTAAAATCTTACAATGTTTTTGTATACTTGTAAAGTATAAAACTGATGATGGAATTTTAAAAAATTCTGAAACCTCTGAAATTAAAGATTTTTTTATGTTAGCATGTAATATTTCTTATAATACTTCAGTGTCCATCTTATAAATCATTTTAATCTCTGCAAAGGAGTCACTTAATATCAATTAATTATTAATTAATTTTTCCTACCAAATAGGAAATGTTGCTGCCTATATTTTTTTAGGGTTGTATATTATCTACCACAGTCTGAGACATAAATCTTTACTAGTTGTATCACATGAAATCTAAGGTCAATTATTTTTAATGAAAAATTAGTTTATTCCATTTTAGTATAGTAGTCTTGTGAGAATTTGTAGGGAGAAATCCACAGAATGTTATTTATAATATTTTCAGCTTGTTTCAAGTTTTGTAATACATTGCATATATGAATAATTTTATTGTACAACAGTTTAGGATTTTATTCTAGTTAAACTATATGTTTTTGAAAATAATGCAAACAATATTACTGAGTGCATTAGAATAAACTGTTGAACGATGTAAAATAAACATTTTTGTATTACCAGTCAACATTTACTTTAATACTTTAAAATTTTTGGTAGTTTGATAAAATCTGGAATTTCTGTAAGTTGCTTGACATCCAAATAGAAGAAGTAATAACTGAGCAACATATCTGGCCAAGAGACAATGGGGAAAATGTTAGTTGATTAAGTTTTACACAGACACAATTATGGAAAGTAAGCTGTTCATCAAAAATGTACTTCATATAAAATTCAATAAAAGATTTAACTTAGTTAGTAAAACTTATTTATGTAACTTGTAACATTTTTAGTCTCAAGTCAGGTTTTCATAGCACAGAAATATAAAAAAAAGAGAACTTCTGATCTACTAGACTGATGAATTTTTTATAAGTAGAACATAAACTATTAGAAATATAGTTCTTGGCCCAGAAGGAGATTACGTTTGAGAGCTGTGTTTTGTACCCTGATAGTTAAACTCTACCTGCTGTGTATAGAATATTGCCTTATTGGGTTCTCTCTTCTTTTTTTTTCTACAATGTACAATATTTAGATTGTGCTAAATTATCTGCTTCTTTTTTTAATCTTGATTAAGTAAAAGATGAACCTTTACTAATGTTACTTCTCATGGTAGCATAGTTTTAACCAGCTGTATTATAAGTTAAGAGCAAACATTTGATTTTATTATAAATAAGCTTTCTTGATCTTTATAGTAATGTGATTCATATTTTCAGGTAATAATTTTTTTGCTAAATGGTATGAATTGCTGCCAAAGGTTGCTCTTGAATCTAATGCTTTGTACAATTAATATGTTTACAGAATGTTAAGGGCTAAACTTGATCAGCCTATATCCAGTTCACCCTGTCCTCGTGAAATGAATGATTCAGGAGAAACTGCAGCTAACCTGACCTTGCATATCCAACGACTGAGAACTGAAGTGGAAAGATTAAAAATGCAGTTGTTGAATGCTCAACAAGAACGTACGTTTCCATTTATACATTTGTATTGGATTGTCACCAAATTATCATTAGACTATTAGAACATTTTAATTCTTTTTTCTTTTTTTACTTTATGAAAACAGTTTATATATATATATATAATCATTTATATTTATTTTTAAATTTGAACTTTTTTACTTTACCAGATTCTGAAAAGATGGCCCATTATGCTACTGAAGAAAGACAGGTTCGTGAAGAAAATGTAAGATTACAAAGAAAGCTGCAAATGGAGATGGAACGACGAGAAACCTTGTGTCGCCACCTGTCTGAAAGTGAGTCTAGTCTTGAAATGGATGAAGAAAGGTAATTTATATACATAAGATATATATTTACTAATTTAATGAGGGTTATTTTTTTAAAAGGGGGGGTTGGAACTGATATCCTTACCTCTTTGCACACAGTAGCTATTTATTGCATATCTGTCTTTGAGATTTGGACATGCACTAGCATTGATCTGTCTCCCACCTGAAACATATTTTAACATGAACTGTGCTAATGCATGATGTAATCATGTGATAATAGCCTTCCACGAATAGGAAGAACACATTCTACATAAATATTTGCATTCAAAATTAACTTCACTCTTTTCTTCAGCACTGTAGTGATTGGACATGTATATCAAACTTTAAACTCTGTTCAATGTAGTGAGATTTGCACTGCATTTATTCTAATGTTAACTTTCGTTTTTTCCTTCATTTCATTTTATATTGTTGCAAATTTGATTTTAACCTACTTCACCTTTCAGCTACTGTGTTAAAAGAAAAAAAAATGATCTGCAGAATTCCTTTCACAACAATGAATTCTCAGGGAGTAGTGACAATTACCTCCTCCTGAGGTTCTGAAGATGCTGCTAATATTGCCCCTACTTCATACGTGACCACTGGAAGCTCATTGATTATAGAGAATATTAATGCTTTCTCAAATAACTCTCTAGTGCTCAATTTTCTCATCTTTGTTTTTTTCTTACCCATTTCTTTTGTTATCTATCTCCTCTCTGAAGTCATACAAAATGATCTGATAGTTTTTCTGAAAATCTGTGGTTGATACTTTTCAATACATTAGCCAGGGTTTCATGTACATCTTTTTCCCTGTTTGCTTGGTTCATTTGTTGTTGGGACCTTCTAGAATGTGATGCTCTTCTTTCTACTGTTCATCATCCCCATTCTTACCTCTGTGATCTCTTACCAACTCCTTTTCTTCACTCTTAAGTCTTCAGTAGTGTGCCTAACACCTTGTAGTCTTGGGCAGGGGCTGCTCGACACCCATCCTCTCTTTCCTCCTTGGTTTCTCCTCTCTCTCTCTCTACCTCGTGTATCCATCCTCTCTCTCTCTTTTCCCATTTCTTGTCTCTCTACTTTTTCTCACCACAGATTTACAGTCACACATCCCATTGTAACTACCTCTTTTTGTACTCATTTGCCTCATTTCCCATGAGGACACATCTGTTTAGTGGGATATTCTAAGTTCGTACACAAGGTTTTTCTCTTCACTTTCTCCTCCTTCCAATCCTCAGCATCTTCTTGGTCTTAAGGCCTCAGTATCAGGTCTTTTGGACAAGAAACCCATCGATAAGGTCATTTGCCTCTCTCCAGGGTTTTATTCTTGTCTTTTTGTTTTCCATCATTGACCTTTTTTTACTTCTCAACCATTATCTAGTGGTTCCTCAGTTAAAGATGGAAGAGTTTTTTTCCTCACCATTAGCTCTTTTCCCCTGCATTATGGATGACCAAGGTCAAAATCTTGGACACATTTCTACAAATTCCAGTTGTTCTGTCCTCCTGATGTTTTCTTTAATTTGTTCACCAGGATCAGCTGTACCAGTTTCAAGCTCTCCATTTGGCATCAGTTCAGCTCTTTATGTATTCATCTTAGTCATGGGTGTATTTGCTCACCACATCTACTGTCTCCTCTTCTCGGGAGGCCTATTTCTCTGCCATGGCACTTCTCCTTTAAGAAAACTGTTTGTCTAGGTTGGTTGGTCAAACTTTCCAAGTCATTCCTCACTCTAACTCAATACTTGGTCTACTTTGGAGTCTTTTTCAGTTCTCAACTCAGTCGGGCTCAGCCTTTCCCTATTCATCTGCGAGACATAGAGTGTCTAGTCCCTCTGATTATTGCCTCTCCTATATTTCTTGTGTGAGAGGTTCTATCCTTTTTGGGGGGATTTTCATGTCTCGAACATCTTGTCCTTTTAGGCCAAGTTCACATAAGCTTCTTCAATGGACTTTTAGCAACTGAAGGAATATCTCTCATGATCCTTTGTCCTCTCTTGTGATGTTGCTACCTTCTCTTCTCAGGGATCTTTTTTGGTAGCTAGTTCATGCCAATACTATAGTCAGCATTCCATTACTGCCTCCAGATTCAATTCTCCATCTTTTCACCACTACTTCTCTTACGGGTTAGAGGTGCACCTCTGGATGATTGAACTGCCTCAAGGATTTGGTCTCGTGTGGAGCATATTTTCCACATCAATGTTCTGGAACCTTTGGTTGCCCGTTGGGCCTGTTTCTATTTGCTACTTTGACTTGTGGATCACTTGGTTATAATCCACTCAGACAATTATGTGTTCATTTCCCATATCAATTGTCAGGGTGGGACTTCCTCCAGAAACCTTTGCTTCCACCTGTTGGACTCTCTGTTTTGGGCCCACCCAAATTAAGATCGCCTTCAAGCCTGTCATGTCCTGAATACTTTGAATTTGGTGGCAGATTGTCTTTTTAAACTGGATAGGATTCTTCATATGAAGTGGTCACCCCATCCTCAGAACTTTTGTTGGATCTGTTCCCAGTTGGGCATGCCAATGATCAATGCCTTTCCCACTCCTCTCAATACCACACTTCCCCTCTTCTAGTCCCCAGTACCCCCCACCCATATTGGCTGCAGGTGCCCTCAGCCAGCACTGCCTGTTGGTAACCCCATTTCAGCCAGCTCAGACTTGGTTTCTTCTTCTTCACTGATTGGCATCCTGGGCACCTCTGCCTCAGTCCCAATTACTCTTGATACAACCTCATACATCTCTTTTACTTGCCAATGTCATCAATTCGTCTTCACATGTGGGATTTGTCAGGTCCGTTACTCATCTGTCAGGTTTCTCTGACTGCATAACCCTTCTTTATCAATAAAAGTGGCACCTTAATGTGATTCTACATGCTCTTATATAGGTCCTCATCACATCATATCCACCATCTGACTTGCTCTCTGGCCTTGCACTTGTATGAGATCCTCCAGGCTGGAATGTAGACCATGCCTAACACCTTCACCATCTGGCAGTTTCATCTTCCTTGGATATCACCTACCTCCAGTTTTCTCACTATCTTTGATGAGCAAATGCCCCTTTTACTTCCTTATCCATTTCCACTCTTCTGGGAAACTATGCAGTGGCAGGTAGTGCTTGATAGAGCACACTTTTATAAATCTTCATCGAGTCTGGTAACAGAAAGCATTAAACCCATCTACCCTGGCTCCAAATGTGCCCACTGTTGAGATGGGGTTTTCTGCAAGACAACTAAGGTGGTATATATATATTCATTGTCCATTCCAGACCATATCTTCCATGGGCTAATGTGATAAAAGCTAGCATAGGGGGAGTTACTGCCTACTTTACTGACTCATGCATTCTGATTTTTCAAATTAGGTTTCACAGTTACCCATTGCACTTCTTCAATCAAAAAACCTTTGTGGTGGTTAGGTCCCAGGCACCTCTTTGGCATCTCCTCTACAAGAATTCCTCCCCTCTAGTCTTTACATGGAACACAGGAGACTCTTGCCAGTTCCAGTTCACTGGGATAGTTGACTTGGAGAGTTACTCACCAGTTTTACGATCCCTCTGAAGAGAGTCCAAGTGTGCAATACAATGTGATGAGAAGTAAGGCAGGGGTGTCCATGTCAGTTTAGTGTAGGCCACCTCTTTTTATACAATATATCATTTTCCTGGTGGTTTGGCCATCCTAGTGAGGCAAAGTGTTTTCCTCCTGCAACAGGAAGGTACCTTCATTCCTGTTCCTCTATATATGGCAAGTAAATGATGCAACAGAACACATACCAAACCATATAGTCTGATTATTGCCCAGTCCACACTACATCTTGTCCAACTAACCAGTTGTATGTAAATGTTTGGTTGATCATGCATATCCCTGTGACACAATGGTTTCTTTGCCTTCCTCTTTTCATACTTCCATCTGAGTGAAGAATATATGTTGCATGAGATTGATGCTGTCTCCTATCAGTGTTGACCCTCTATAAAGGAACTTATCTAGGTTTTTGCAGTTATTGGCTCTTCCACCACATCAGTGTAGGATTCTAGATGCTGTGTGCAGAGAGGTAAGTATATCATTTCAGTAATTAACATTTTACTTACCTGAAAATATATTTTTGATATATACTTACCTCCCTTCCCACCCTCTCTCCCTTCTACTGATGCACCCTATTCTTGCCTTGTCAAAGAACAAGGTTACTGTGTAATACAAGTGCCTATGGGGATCTACTGTGCATGTTGAGGAATAGCTACTGTAATGAATAGGGGTAAGTATCAATCCAAAATACATTTTCAAGTGAGGAAAATGTTAACATTGCATCTCAAAATATAATTAATAAATCATTCATTTTTGGAAACAAGTACAGTACTGTTATCTTTGTTTGTACTTTCCTCTTATAAAGTGCAGATATGTTGCTTGTTTGTTTGGAACATATGCATCCTGTGACGTTTGCTTCCCTAAAGGTGACCATTTAACATACGAACTTGTATTAAAATTTGTGAACAAAGAAATGCAGATATTGTTAATGTAATACTTAAAACAAGGATGAAAATGTGAGGGACCATTGTCATGAGCAGTAACTTTCTGTAATGCAGTAATATTGGTAGTAGTCATATGGTTCGTATGTAATACTTTAAAAAACTAACAGAATAAAATCACTTCTTATTAATGTTACATTAATCAGATATTTGAATTTGAATATGCTAACTGGAATTTTATGTACATTATTACCATAATGATTTTTCAGTAAGCATTTGTTATTTCAAAAATTCACAAGGAATGTTGATATTAACAATCATTGTCAGGAACTGTATTATTGGTTTCAGTAGCAAACAAAGTTGATAAAACTTGGCATAGCCTTGAAGTGTTGGACTGAAAATAATTAATCAATATGATCATTTGATGAAATTTTACAGACAGTTTAATGAGCTATCTCATGGCCATAGTGTACGCCAGCGAACTGTCTCCAGTCCAATACCATATGCTCCTTCACCTAGTACTTCTCGCCCTCTCAGTCCAGGTAACTTTAGTTTCTGAAATACTTTTTTCATTTTTTTTCAAAATTATAAGATACATCAGTTTTAAACTAGAATGTGGTGTTTGAGACCATAATATGAACAAATTCAAGGCTAAAATTACTTTTTCTTTATAATAGAAATAAATCATTCTACTGAATGTAAGTGATAGGCTAATGCTTAGCTGAAAAATAAATGTGTTTAAGATCTTTGAGTATAAATAGAAGGATAAGATTATAACCATAAATTAATAGAAAAAAATCCAGAGTGTATAGTGAAAGAGTATACATGTATATCATCATAATATTTAAGCTGAATTGAATGTTTGTCAGGTTAGGTTAAAACTATATAAAGAATCAGTGGTATGTCTGAGTTAATGGTGTTTTGTATTCCAGCCAGGTTGATTGTTGAACCCTGGCAATGGGGAAAAAGGCCTTGTCACCACTGGAAGTAGTGTATATAGTGTGTTTGACATATTGTTATATATTCTTCCTTACTTTCATTCACAAGTTCATAGAATTGGTGTCTGTGGTCAAAACCATGATGACTTACCTGTTGTCATTATTTTTTAGCACGTGGTGACATCATTATATATATATATTTTTTTTCTCTAGGCATGAATATCATGATTCTTTCTTTATGACATCATTATATTGTTTTTGATTCTATGTTTTAATTTATAACTTTCATTTCTGAGGTATGTTTTAATGTTTATTTTTTAGCTTGGTTAACTTTCCTTTTTTGATTAATCTTTTATAGTGTTACTATATTGTTTCTCTTTATCTCTTTAGTTTGATCTTCAGTTGTAGATTGTTCTGTAATGACAGTATTATATAGTTTCTCCCTGTAGGCTTGACTTCTTTTTATTTTGACTTCCAATTCCTTATTATTTCTTAGTGGCATTGTTTTTCTTTCACTCTAGGCTTGACTTTCAGTAATACCAGAGAAACTTTCAGCCCCACCAGTCCCTTGGGACGATGTCCTCACTGTAGTCAGCCACTGTATCATATCATAGCTTCCAGTGCCCATCTTCCAAGCACCTCACCTCATGGACATGGTCATACAGCTGTAAGAATTCTAAAGTTATCCATCCTTTTGTTGTTTTTATTTTTTATTATAAACGTTTTATTAAGGTGAACCTCTTTAGCTGATGTTAAATTACATTGCACTTTTTAGATAAAACACAAAATAATATTGAATGCTTTATTATGAAGTTGATTAAAATGTAATATACTGCTATTGAAAGAAATATTTTTATATAACATTCAAAAAATTAGTCAATGTTGATTTTTATAACAACAGATATAGGTAATATGAAAATCTTCTTAAAAATTTATTCAGTTGAAGGATGATTTGCAATGAAGACGACAAACAACTTCAGATATGTGTTTGTTTATTATACCCAACATTTCAGCTTGCACCTTTTTCAAGGGTCTATGAATGTCATGGGTTATAAAGCTAATTTGAAGTTTTTTAACATTCATTATCTACGACACTAACCCATTCAACAATACGTTAATGCTTCATCGTGCAACATTCCATTATATTGTTGTTGACTGTACCACTGCAAATCTTGACAACAAAGAAGCCACCACTTAATTAACAAGACACCTTATCAGATCAAAATTTTAGATTTGTGACAACTTTCTTGACAGAAAATTTAAAAGAATCTTTTTTAATTCAGTCCAAATGCCCTTCCATTAACAGATATAATGCCTTGCTCCTATAATACAATTTTTTTTAACTTTTATGATCTGCAACTCAACCAGTTCATAAATACTTTTAGGGCACTTCACTGTGCACCATTCCATTATATTGTTGTAGTTTTATATTCTTTTTGGTTACAATAACTTAAAACCACAAACTCTTGAAATATCAGATAGAATAAACAAACGTTTATCTCAAGTTGTTTGTCGTTTTCATTGAGAATGGTTTCCATCCTTCAGTCAGCACTGAAAGCTTTAAAAAATAATAATGATGAGGAATAAATTTAGGACTAATCATCTGATTTTTTTATTTTACATTTGTAGAAATAATTAATGGAAATATGTGTGGCTAATATAGTGTAAAGAAACAAGAGACTGTTAGTTATTTCTAGACGAAATTATTGGGAAGTTAGAATTACTATACCAAAGATGTAAGATAAGCCTCTAGACTCATAACATTATTTGTTAATATTGATATTTTTGAATAAAGGGCTTAGCACATAATTATCTGTGAAATGAAACTATTTAAAGCACAAAATATTATTCATCTCAACTTAGATAGCTTAGAAGTGTGAATAGACCATCCAGAAGTGTCACTACATTTTTTTTATGTTTTCATTTAAAAAAAAGACATTCCCTGAGAACATTGCTTTAATTATAAATATTGCATTTTATTAGTGGACTCCATCTGCCATGACTAGGATGCAGCCAAGTCCATCACAAGAGAAGTTTGTGAAGCCAGCTGCCCCTCCTCCAGTCAATAACCAGGGGCAAGCCTCAGTTTTGATCCACACTGAACATGCATTTACTACTGAGAAAAGTTAAAGGTTTGAATGGTAATTATGGTGCTAAATGACACAAATAACGTACCCTCAGAAAAAAAGTGAGAACACTTATGATTCCTTATTCAAAGCTAAAGATATTTTGAGTTTATTTTCAGGACCTGATGTTAAGAAATTATATAATGGAGTATCACATGGTGTGAAAACGTTCACTAACTTTTACTGCTATATGATACTAAAACCATAAGGGTAGCTTATCTGGTGAGGATTGCTTAAATGTTTTTACTAATATTGGTATTTAATACCTTAGCACTGTTATAGGAAAATGGTTCGTTTACCTCATTACTTAGTGTTTTCAGCCTCTGAACTGTGAAAATTGGTATATTCTAGAATAAATACTCAAGCTAAGAGTCTTACATTAGTAAAACCTAGCTTCTCTTCATCTCTCTATTTTGCTTTCTCCAGTCAGTAATGTAACTAAACAAGTAGAGCTGTGGATGGAATGTTATTGCAGATGCATGTTACTAGACAAGTATGTCTGCACTTGAGACATTTCTGTAGATCCATTATCTGCAAGTATGTTTCAACATTTTTCAATCGGTCTTTAATGTAACTAGACAACAAATGTTTGTATGAGAGACATTTTGTAGATCTGTTATCTGCAGATACATGTTTACATGGCTGAACCATCAGAAATATAATTAAACTCCCAGAACTGTAGTTGTAAGATTTCTGCAGATATGGGTAATGTGTTTAAAGCAATGTAATGTTATTTTTTCTATATAATTTAGACATTATGATGTAGCCTGGGAGTGAATCATGGGTTCAAACCCTGGATTACTTGTAATAGAACATTCTTTGAATAAAATGATATTTGGTAGAACAAAATTTTTAATAGCATACATTAAAAATCTTTTCATACATTGTTAAATTTAGTATATGTGTCTGTAATACTGTGATTTCTATAAATTATTATTTTCCTTCTCTCACATTTCTCAACAAATGATTAGAAGTTACTAATGATTCTTATGCTAAATATGGATTAGTTGTGTATAGCTATTAAAGATTGTGACCCTTAATAGCAAAAATTAGACAAAATATGATTTATAACTTTCTTTTTTCTGCATGTACCTTGCTTATAGTTGATTGAAATATAGAATACGTATAAAACAGTTACTTGTAACTTATGTTCCAAAACAGTAAATCTCTGAGAAAGGCATAACTGAAAACTTCTCTAAAATCTTTATCTCAATAAATTTTTAAACACGATACAAGTAAAAAAACTTTAATTAATTTATAAAGCATTGGTTGCAAGATGTTTCTTTGTTGTTTATTTTTGATAAACTGGAAGATTCTAGCAAATTTTGTCTAAAAGTAAAGGAAATCTCTTGAATTGTGTTTATGATGTGCAAAATATATCTATAAAATCTTCCTGCTTCAAATTTTCTACTTTTGTGAACATAGGGTGTGATTTTTGAGAATGAATTGTTATAGATAAGGCTGTGTAAAACTTCTGCTATTTCTACATGTGTGTGTGTGTGTGTGTACCTGTCTTAAAACACTTAAAGTAAATGTGCCTTTTGTTTAGAAGTAAGCACAACAGCAACAAATTTCTGTAGTTAGAGCTCGAAACTTGGCATAATTACTTAAACAAAATTATATGCGACTTATACCAGGATTGATAAATATATTTGAATAGTAACAGCTTCAGAGGAATGGCTTAGATTCAAGTTTATTTCTTGTATTTTTTTTTAGATATAAATTGTAATTTAAAGGTTTTATAACTTTAAAAAAAATTCAGTCAATTTTATGTATCCAGATATACTCACTTTTTTTTCCCCTATAAAACATTACTTGTTGAAGAGTGCATATCATTGTTATGCATTAATGTAATAGAAGACTGATGACAAGAAATAATGATATTCACTATACGTGATTATATGTTTCTCCTCAGTATAAGGTACCTGGCACTTACTAGTGATTTTTTTCTTGACATGCTATGACTTGGTTTCATTCAAATATCTTGTACATATTCTGATGCTATAGAAACAAAAGTGTTATACAACTACAGAGACCCTATAAGCTTGCTTGCTTTTTTTTTTGAAGCTATAAAGTGGCATCATTCAGAAATTTTGTATTTGTTAATCCTTACAATCATCCCATATTTTAAAATACTTTTAGTGAGTCCTTGGTATGAATGAAAGTTCATATAATGGTGAAACAACTATTAATAACACAATGCTACAGTGTTATGCATAATGTAGAGGATTCAGAAAACTTTTAGCATGCTTGTTTTTTTTTGTGACAAAATTAAGGAAATTTGTGGCTGTTTTGCTTGTCAGTATATCTATGGAGAAGTGAACGAAAAAAGCAAGATCTTGAAGTTTTGAATGTGTACATCATGTATTAATGAACAAATTTCTTGTGACTGATAACTTTCACTTTTGCTACAATTAGTACTTTGGTAAATAGGTTTGAGGGGGATAGAAAATTCCAGTTTTTTTTACCAATGCTCATGTGTGGTACATGAAAGTTATTACTATGAATCATGCATGGTATAGAAGGTATCAGTGATTATGAAAGATCCTGACTTGTAGTTGTGGATAAACATATTGCATCTTTTCCTGACTTTTAACATTTAAAACATTTGTCAATACTAAATAACAATAAATTATAAAAGAAGTTTACGCTTCTCATGTTTATATAATTTCACTGATATCCAGTTCGTAGAAGTAATAAGGAAATAGTGGAAGTTTTAATCATTTGTGATAAGGAGCTATTGATAAAATAATAATTGATTGTAGAATTAAGGGGACACAGATTGTTATGTTGAGTGTACCAGCAATGATATTAAAAAAATTAAACTTGGTCCATTTATTTATATAACGAAAATAATTTCTTCTTCTCTACATTTAACTATTTTTGCTGCATCTTTTACAATAAAATGTAATGGCAATGAAGAATGCTTTATACATAATGAATTGAACAGTCAACATCACGCCATGATTCAGTGTTTTTGTTTTTTTTTGCCTGTTGGAAAGTACTTCTTTCTCAGTTAAATATGGTTGATTTATTTTGCACTAATGAAAAATGTAATTGTTCATTCAATGAGTATCATTTTCTCTGACATGTTTTACTATTTTTAATGACTTCTACTTATTTCAAGTTTCACTTAAGGTTTATTCAAAACAAGAATTAATTACATTTTGTGACTGTGTACACAATCACTTCATTTTAATTCAAATTCTAATATGTGCATGAAAAGTAACAAGTATTTCTCTGGTAGGGTAATTAATTGATATTCAGAACATGGTTACTGCAGATGAGCATCCAGTGTTCTTACAGTTTGTGTATCATTATGGGTTACATGATATATAAAAATTGAATCCTTCACTTAGCTTAATATAACATCCTATTTCCAGAAAGTTGATTATATTTGGTGCTTGCTGATGCATATACGTGTTTGAATAATTAATCAAATACTCATAAAATTCACTTTTAATTTAGTTTTGATCATGTTTATTAATATTTTTATTTTTGACTGGCGACTTGTTTAACTGTATCTTTTACCATTATGGATTGAAATTTCTGCATTCTTATGATCCAAAAAGTCACTGACAATCCATTTCTTTCATACAAACTCAAAAATTACACTTTCGTAAATGTGTGGCTCTTTAATATATTATGTAAATGACTAATAAGATTGTACCTAAGGGTTGTCATTATATTAGAATAAAGTAGCCAAGCATTAGCTCTCTTAATGTTTATATGATGAATCCATGTTCCTTGTTAATAATGTGTTGACCATATTTTCCCCATTAATGATAACTGTCAGACAATAACCAATGACACCCTAGTTATGTTGAATTATTTCAACATCTATCCCACTTTTTCTTTACTCTATGGTCCTGTGATACTCCTTGTTAAACTCAGTAATAATATAAACATATTTTATTCTAAGCTATTGGTCTTTATATGTATATTTGAAAAAATTAAATTCTTTGTTAGCTAAGTTGCATCTCAAGTAATGTCTGTTTTATTGTTTTTGTTTTTTTACATAAAACCATCAAGCATGTCATTAAAAATAATGGTGTCTATTCAAAACTATATCTTTGTTGGTAAGCTCTACTCCAACAATATTCTCAAAAACAAAAATTTTCAGAACTATAAACATTGACAATACTATTAACAAGCTAAGAAGGGTAATTATGAAGAAGTGATATTGGTGTAAATAAATATCACTATCAGAGAAACTTTTGCATCTATGACAAAGACACTGGATAATTTGTTAATGGTGGAACCCATTTATCAATTTGCAACAATAAATAATAGGAATTTGTCAGTGTTCAAGCCAAGCCAGAACTAAAATGTAAAAGTTACTACTGATATTTCATATTAAGTTTTTCAGTTGTTGTGCCCATTAACTTATTGACTGCTGATTTGCTGCACAGAGTACATTTTTCCTCTGGCAGTTGAATGCGAGTGTGCTGTATACAATATATGGCTTGTAAAAATTCTGCATGCACTCAAAGGGTTAATAGCAGTGCTTAGCAAGTAAAAACTAATAAAAGGTTATTTTTTCAATTGTTTCTATCAAAATTAATTTTCATTATGTTAAATATATTAATGATATTTAGCAACGAAAAAAATGTTTCATTTGTCATATTATAAGGATTTATCACTGGATAGATAATTACTTATCCATTGCACTACAATACATTGTAGCATTGAAATTATTTTAGTCAAGTAAACATTACTGCAGGAAAATGTCTTCCATATGAATGTTTTTTTTTGCTTCAGTAAGCGGGAAAATGTAGCTTTATGTACAGACTCTGTGTTGAACATGTTATTGCTTGCATCTTTGTTTTTGATGTGCATCAACAATTAGGATACTTGTATAACATTATTACTTTTTCGTGTACATGTGACATGATTGTGCTGAATAAAAACAATTCAAGTTGAAAGTTCAGTTTTTCAGAGCCAGATTGGTTAGGTTAACATTTGTGAAGTATATTCACTTATATCTTATAAAAAATTTCAGTCAAAAGACACAATGGAATGAATTAAGGCCTGTAATAAAATAATATGGTTGAGTTGTAAAGAATTTTTGTTTTTCAACATACCTCGTATTACTGAGATGTAATGCACGTGCATAAAGTAACTTTTGATGGCGAACCATTTTAACATTGCATAATTGAATCTTTAAATATTAGTTTAAAGCCTTTTGTTTTCATTTCCTACATAAAATTAAAACCAGCGTCTTTTGTTCTGTCAGATGCACTGTGGACGTTTCCTATAACAAAGTGTTCTTTGAAAACTACAGGGTCCCTGTAAATTGTGATTTAAAATGATGGTTTACAGAACCTCAGAACATGATGTTAATTACATGTACATATATGTCTTGTGTGGGGGTATAATAAAATAAATATATTGAAATCTTATGAATAAAGTGTTCTTTATTTTTAACATTTTCTAACCAGCACTTTTGTAATTTTAACTAAACTTTTCACTTGCCCTATGGATGACAAAAGTAAAAAGTTTTTTTTTAATTCAAAAAATATATAGACAGTGAAAGTGAAGTTTCCAAACACTACTTGATTTTCATTTGACATTCAAAAGGTTACCTACATTTTCCATTAAGATTCCATGAAATTATGGTATGACAAAAAAACAATACTTAGGAAATTAAACTAAGTTCCTAAGATGAAACACCTTGAAAAATGTTTGTTCATGTAATTTTTGCAGTAGTGGCAGGTGATACAAAAAATTTTAGTCTACAAAAAAAATTAGAAATTTCTCTCAAACATTACTGCTGAAACACAACAAAAGTATAATTCTACTTAGGATAGCTGAACTTGCTTAAGAGAAGACATGGCCAAGGAGTAAATAGTAAGTTCACAAAAATATCCCTTAATTATGGAGATGGCATGTTAAATAAGAGTGAAGTCTGTAAATGGCTGTTTCTTCTAAGGTACAAAAATTTAGGAAGTTTGAGACATTAGTGATGATTAGTAAATAATACAGTTAAATTTTCAGTAAAATTGTAATCTGTAGGCCATATGAAATGTACTAGCATTTATAATATTTTGTTTTACAACATGTCATTTTAAAGTAAATAGCATCAATGTAACTGAGATATATATATATAATTACATAATGCTACAAAACCAATTTTTTCCTAAAGTTTATTCAGGATGTTAATAATGGGTAAATGTATTCTAACACTTCTTACCTAAAAACTTTTCAGATTGAAGTAATTAAGTCAGAGTCAATTTCATGCCTTAAACAGCTTGGACTAATGTAATTTCTCTTAAGTCTGTTCAGGAAGAGAATTTAAATAGAAAAGTTTCAAATTCTATGATAATTAATCCCTGTAAACTTCTGTTATGATAATCTATGGAGGAAACAAGTGCCAATTCTACATATTTTTTATCCTAGGAGGAATCAGGTTGATGAAGAAACCAAAATGTAGATGTTTCCTTAAAGTTTTCCTGTATGGTGTGGATAAATACTCTGGATGAATGTGTTCAAATTCCTAGAAAAACAAATTAATAAAAATTGGAAATCTTGATTTTTTCTTCAACTATCTAGGTAAACTTTGTGAACTTGACATTAAAATTAAAATAAAAAGATTACATATTTTGAAACCTATTTTTAGATCTTATTAAATAATTTCTTTTTGTTTTTTCCCTAAGGAGTAAAATTGTTATTTACTGAAGTGTACATATAAATATATTGAATATCTCTTGTTTTTTAAAACCTGAGATTATGAGCATGACATATATTAATTTTTGGTATTTATGTTCTCCATATAAAGGTCTTGATTTTCATTCTATTCCTAACATAAACATGACATACTATGGGAAATTAAGATTATTTATTTTTCAAAGACATCATAACTTAAAACAGTTGCTTCCATACCTAAAACATAAATGAATTTCTCCTGGACTAAAATCAAGCAGGGCTTGGTGAAAACATCTGTTGTAGTCTATCTCGCCCAGTCCATAAACAGTAAGCTGTTGCCAAACTAAAACCCAGAGCTCCTCCAACTGCACATCTTCTAAGGCCAGCTAAAAGATAAATACTATAGTTATTACATTTATAAATATGTACTTTGTAATATACTGAAAGATGCTTCACGCTACTTTTAAACTTCTAGTCATTTCTTTTGGCAATTGGTATACAGAAATAAAAAATGCAACATGGCAGGTACTCTCACAATTGAAAATGATGACTGGAAAACATTTTTTATTACAAGTTCTACAGGACCAATGTTCTTTATTGTTCTTCTCAATATTTTTTTCATAAAATTAAGTGTAAATGAATTGTAATCCCTGAAACAGCTGTGTTTTGTCATATCAGGTTTTGTTTGGAGGCAAGTCATAACAACAAATGTGCATTAGTTTAACATTAAGCCATGAAAACAATAAACTGTTATTTCAAGTATGTTAATTCTGTTTTAGGCAACAACTTCCTTTATGTCAAGTCCTAGCTACATAAACATCAGTATGACTTTACAGATGATATTCATTCATGGAATTTACCATACTACACTTTTTATACAGAACATTTATACGAATTTACTTCAATCAGAGTCCATAAAATAATGATAGAAAATCTTTTTAAGGCTTTTTTTTTTAAGCATTCCTTACCAATTGAAAAAACATTTTCATTTGGTCTGGTTTACTGTTGATTAAATTCCTCAAAAGCAGAGAAAAAATTACAAATACATAATTAACTGTAAAATAACTATAACATTTCAGTATTTTTTGTTGCACTCTTAGAACAAAGTCACTTTACATAAATCTTTCAATTGAAATTGTTTTTATTCTGAGAGTCAAATTTTAGCTGAAAAAGTTCACAGAAATATAGTGCTACTACCATTGTATAACAGTTATAAAAAAAAATTATCCTTTACCACTTTTACTTGTATTTAAAAAAAATTATACCATACTAAATGAAACTTCTTGAGTCATGTTTTAACATCAAAAGCACTTCTGAAAAATATAGAAAATACAGTGTATGTTCTATATACTTACCAGATGATTTATACAAAAGACCAGCAGCTGTTGCTGCAGATACCGTGTTCAGCTCATCATCCACTCCACGAACCAGTGAGAAAATTACTCCAAAACTACTATACATAACAGCTGGGTAGAAAAGCAGAAAAATCTATATTATGGTACAAGTTCAAATAAATGGAAACAATCTCCAATTTTTCTAACACTTTATCCATCTTAAAATATATAGAATTGTTACAAAACTAAAATTTATTACATTAGCAAATGGCATAAAATAAAAAATTTGATTTCCCTAATTCTGTATAAGAATGTTACCAGCACATATCTAGTAAATACCTTTTCAAAAAACATTGTCATTTACCTATAACACCCAGAGTATTACCAATCCCTGCTCCTCGTTTGGTTATATAGTTCAGCATTCTGTTAGAAAAAACATTGCAAATATTTTATTTCAGAAATTCATTTCACATTTGTTTCATCTGCCAATTTAAAATTGAACTGAAAATTAAAGGATAAAAATATTATTTTACTTAACTTGTGCTAAGAAAATCTGCTGGAAGTACCAACATCCTACTTTAAATATACCAAAATAAGACCAGTACAAAGAACCAAAAGGATAATATTATGCAAAATGCTCACAGTATCTTCTTATATCTCAAGGGTATCAAAATTTTTTTAATATGTACACCACTTAAACACAGCCAATGTGTAGACAAAAATAAAAGCTACTAACTGACATGTAATTCTACCAACAATATTAACCTGAACATTAAACAAATTCTGCTGATAGTATTTTCTTATTTCTGAATGGCACCAACATGTTCTGTTTCAGAACATAAAAGATTACATACAATACAACCCACAACTAGACAAAACAACAATATATAGAAACAGGTACTCACTGTGTTCTTCTAACACTGCCAACATGTCCTGCAGCAGCTGTTTCTTTCAAGCCTGTGTAGAAGCCATTGAAGCCACCAAGGAGTGCCCCTACAGGTAAAAGAAAGAAATGTTAGTGCAAGTCTTATAATTACATAGTCCCTCACAAGTCAAAATTTAAAAAAATGATTATTTCCATTTACAAATACCTTCCTTTCAAACCCATATGTTGATGAAACTTGAATACTTATAAAAGTCAGTTCGCAATATTAATTTCCAAACACTGTACAACTTTTGAAATATTACATTACATACCAGTCATAACTGATCCACCAATCTGGGAAAAAGCTAATTCAAATCTTCCACGCTGACGTGAAGCCCCCTCAGGAAATATCCATTCTGGTCCACTCTACAAAATAAAATTAATATTTTGTAACTGAAATAAAGCCTATGTTTGGTGTTTTGTCATCTTATCCAGTAAATTATATATATAGTATATAACTATCTACACATATATATTTGTAGCTTTTGTACATCATTGTGCAATGTCGAAACAAAGATATGAGGAGGGTTTCGTTTTCCTCTCTGGAGAAAAAAACGAGGATATTATTGAGTATGGTTGAAAGTAAAGAATTATGTATAGCGACATGTCAAGCACACTACTTCTGCTATATCTAATACCAATAAAGCCTTTTGACCAATACCAGGGCTCATCAGGCTAGATGGGATATGACAGACACAGTAGTGGTTGAGATATGTGATAACAAGAACTAGACATATCTTATAAAACTTGTTAAAATGTGGTGCACTAAATTAAGAATTGAATTAAAATTAAATCATATAGGTTATTTACCTCAGAAATGCATTCAGTTAAGTGCTGATATAGTGTTCTGTATTTTATGAATGGTATATAGGGATTAAAACTCACTATCACGGAAATATTTTTATCACCTTTTGCCACAAATTAGTAAAGTTCATGCAGTCATTTTAAAACAAATTAGGCAATCTGAACATATCTGGATAATGAGTTAGCTTTCCATTTCACCATATGCAGAGGGAAGTACTTTTTTTAAAAATAACTGAATTATTAATTATTTCTTAATAGAACCACTATGACTAAAACTATTGAAGTTATTGGCTGAGTTTTAGAAACAGCCCACTCTGATGGTACAAAAAATATGCCAATATTAATATCACTGACACTAGAAATGCAGAAAAGATTGTTAAGGTTGATTCAATACCTGAGCTAGGTAGGCTGGGTCAAAATTAAGATATGGTGACACTGGAGCGAAGTTTCCTCTTGGAGAATCTATTTAAAAATAATAAAAAACTAATTAACTGGAATTACAATTTTCTCAGCAGCATCTTTTGACAGTAATACTAAAAATAAATTTTGATCTTAATCTGAAGTATCTCGATTGTGCTATAATTTTCTATTCTTGCATGTTTAGAAAGTTTTTGAGAGAAGAATCATGAACTGAACCATTATGGTTCTCGCTAAGATTGCTGCACTCCCTAACTGATTTATAAGGTACTGGATCTCAAGCTTCAAAACCACTTCTCTGAAAAGCAAGTTATAAAACTAATTCTATTTTGTTATAGTTTCTTATTGGAATAGCTAATCCTCATTAAAAATTACCTATCTAATCCTCATATTTTTGTTGGAATAAGTTTCATAAGAAACACTTTTAATTTTCAATGCATTTTATTATGACAATGTTTAATTCAGGAATTAGTAATAGTATATTAAACTCCTACAAAAGAATTGAGGGTCACGGAGCATGCTATGACATAAACTAGTCATCTTATGCCTCCTGTCACAGTTTATCAACATTTATCTTCCTTTGACTCAACTAAGCTATTCCAATTTCTACAACCATCCTACTCCAAAGAACAAAAAAGAAATCATTTTTCTGATTTCAATCTCCAATCTCCTCTGAAAATCCTTTAGTGCTGCAGCTTCTACAACACTGGAAAGCATGCATACATTCAAAATAACTTTATAATAAATTACAAACTATGGGATACCAAGAATCCTCCCTTAACAAACAGAAAACTAATCATTAAATCCAGCCCTAAATATACATCAACTATTTCCTTAAACTTGTGTGAAGATTCATATTATTACTGAAAGGGACAAAGGCTTGGTAGGACATGACTGAAGCTTTAAACACTGGTAGAGGTAAGGAATCTATAAATCCAGATTACAATCTAAAAAAAAATTGTAGTTTATGATATAAAAAACTCAAACATGGCTCCAGTTAAGGTACTGTTAGTTTTATGATGAAGTCAACCAATGGAATAGTTTTCCATTATATATGTGTTAGAAGTTGTTACACAGAAAGAGTTTAAGATGAGACTGAATGAGTACACTGGAAAACAATGTTGTATATAACAAATATGGTTTCTTTTTTTTTGTAGTTTGACATAGGATGGTTATAGAAAATAGATAGCTTAGATTCCCCCCATTATCCCTTAGAAATGAAATGAGAAAATGTTTCAACTGGAATAATGTCCACTCTTTCCATATATTATACTTATTGCCTCTTGTCTTAATCCCTAAAAATTCAACATTAGAAAACAAATCTGATTTACCAAAATTATCATTTCTCTTAATAATTTTGAATACTTCAAAAAATCATCCTTCACTCTTCTCTTTTTAAATAAGAGCAAGGTTAAGGATCTTAGCCTATCTTCATATGACAACCTACTGATCCCCAGAATCATCAACAGCCCTCTGCTGAACCCTCTCCAACAATCCTTCCCAATACAGGTGGACACAATGCTGTAAATGAGGCCTAACCTCTTTACACTTGTAGTATATATTCCTATGTGTAAAATTCAAATTATGTTAGACATGAAATACAACACAGGCTATAAAAAGTTATGAATTCTATTAACTAATACTGCAAGACCATTTTCCTCATCCATCCACTTAATTAAAAAAATTTATATGTATATTGTATATGTAATTCATATTAACCCATATGCATAACCTTACATTGACAATTAAATGCCATTTGCCAAATGCTTGTCCAACTAACCAATCTATCCAAGTCTGCAAAATCATAGCATTTCATAAATAAGCAATCAATGTATCAAAGTAATGGCAATTATCATTTTTCCCATTCTACCGCAGAACTGGGTTAGGCCAGTCCTAACTTAATGCTTGAAAACCACTTACTAACTGTATATGTTTATTACTTACTCTGTTTAATATAGTGTTTTTGTATACTTTTAAACATTTAAACTCAATGAAAATATATTCATTTCAAATTATTTATCAAATAAAAGGCATTGAGCAATGTAGTAAAAGTATCATAACCAAGGTGACAACATCTATTTGATCCAATAGTCACTCCTTTACTAACCAAAACAATCAACTAAAGCATAGGGGCCAATGTGCCATATTCCTGATATGTCAGCCATTATAATTACAGTTTGATAATAGTGTATAAGAGGATTGGAATTTAACAAAAGGGTTCTGGACTGTAAATAATTTGGGAACCAATAAACTAAAGCAACAAAATCAAATGAAATGTAGCACTTCACATCTATATACTTATAATATAAAAGTATTAAAAATATTAAGCTAACAGCACACACATATCACATTAAACAAACAAACCATTTCACAAACTGATAGCATTAATTGACAATTTTGTCAAAGAACAACTCTGCATCTGGGCCTCTAAAGCTTTAACTTATTACTTATATTCAAGGCAGCATTTCCAACACCTTTTTATCCCATCACTAACAAACCACCCACTCATAAATCATCCAAGCGTCAAAACCCTAAAAATTTAAAACATAAATTACACCACCTCAAGTCCCTCTACAATCCACCAAATTCAATTCCAAAATTTTAAGCCTTTTCTTGTACATAAAACCTATTAAATTAGGTGCCATACTTTAATTTTTCAAATAAAGTTTTTCTAACTCATTAAGTGCGCTTATGATATCAGTGACATCCCTGCAAACCAAGATTAATAGATTCTATTTAGTAGTGGTTTTGTCTGAGACTGCTGTCACACAGCAGAATATGTTCTTGTATTATATTCAAATTATACAGTATATAAACTGTAATACAATGAAGTGCCCAAATGTTTAACAACAGTATAAGTATTTTTCAGATCAAAATTATGTTCAATGGGTAATGTTTCAGTAATTTTATATAATAAAGACATACTGCATATTTTAAATTAATTTTTATTAACATATTTTACATATGTTTTTGGTTGTATAACATTTTTTTATAGTTTATTAAACACTGTGCAATCAAGTGAAAGTTAACATTTTCTTAACTCAAAAATGCATTTCCAATCATACTTACCTCTACAGCTATTACTCAACTGCTACAGTTTCCTTCCTTTGCCCATCTAAGCATTGGTCTGAATTTTTTGTGCTTGCTTCACTCTTTTATTCGCCAAATAATTGCCCTTGGCAATATCTGCAATGTGACACACTCCACCTACATCACTGTATCTTCTATCCTGATACTGTAAATTATCACCTCATTCAGATAATATTATCACTTTTTCAAGACTGACACAATCCACAGTTTCTAACACCAGATCTTAGTGGGGAGGAAGTGTGGGAGAGAGTAAGAGAAGGTTTATGTTATTGGAAATACATTTTTGATTAAAAAAAATGTTAACTTCCAAGACATACTTACTTTCCTTCACACTACAGCTGGAATCCCACATTGATAAGGTGTAGGGGCCGGTGAGGGCATTATCCATACAAAATGCATCTGCAAAAATCATGGATGTGCCAATAAAAGCTTAGCACCCTAGTTGGGGAACTGCACTACATCCAGAACAAGTATGCTTTTCACCTTGAACCTAAATCTTGCCATTCAGTGGGAATTTGATGTGATCTGTCATCACTATAGACCAGGCCCCAACCAGATAGCTGAGGTATCACTGTTCAGGGTTGGAATTATAGGGCCATGGTTCCTAAATCCAATGTTGGTGGCTATGGCATTTGGACAGCATTATATAAATATATATATATATATTTGTGAGTGGATCTCAACCTGTAGTTATAGAATGATGCATTCTGAGCCACTGGAATTATGACGAGTAGGTAAGCAACACTGAAGTGGACAAATCCTCTCCTCAACCTGAAGAAGTCTGAAAGGCAACACTCTAAACTTTGAATGACAGGATCTTGTATGCTATAGTCAACCTGAGGAAACAGAACTCATCTAGTCTGTAATTATGAACAATTATTCTCACTCCTCAACCATGTGGGCAAGGTAAATTCCACTTGCCCCTAGAATTATGGAGAGAACGTGGAACTGTGCTCAACCAAGGACCTAGGATGGGACCACTCTGCATTTTCAATTATGGGGAGACAACAGACCCTCTTCCCTGAACAATGTACTGAACTGATATTGATTTTTAAAAAAGGGCCACACTCAACCCAACCAAATTGTAGAGCATCAAAACTGAACTGGTATTATGAGTAGGCTCCCATGTAGGCTGGTGCCTCTCTTACCAAAAAAACATCCAGGAACCTGGGTAGGAGAGACTCCAAATCTTACCATCTTCTCAAAGAGTGGAGGAAAGTCACACAACTCACTGTAGAAATGGCAACTGGAAACTGGGCATGGTAAGGACTCCCTAACTCCACTAATAGGAAACAAGGGGGGCAATGCACACTGGGGAGTCTGAAGGAACAATGCTCTGAAAACAGTGCAATAGGTGAACCAATTTCCCTAAATTTTTAAAAGCAAACCAGCCCTAATTTATTCAATCTAATGATCATCAGGGATGGGCAAGATCCCCTTATGCTTTACTCATGATATTCCATGAATGGTGGTTCAGCTTAGTACAGTAATAACACCCGGCATGCCTCTAGGTAGTCTTATGGAACACTCCATTTCAACAGAGCCTGTTGCAACCTGGATAAAAGCATATTATGTTAGTGGTTGCTAGTATAGAATTGGTTTGACAAAATAACACCTGCCTGTGCAACACTCACTACAGAGTGGGATCCTGTGAAAAAGAGGTAAGGGACCCCAGAAAATGAAGAAGAGACAATACTAGTAATGAAGATACTGACACCTTATAAATCTAGTGGATGTGGTTAAGTTAACTGCTGGAAGTAGTCAAAAACCCTCAGATGAAGATACTGCTAGATCATGCAAATAATGTGAGATAAAAGTATTGAAGGAGGTCCATATAACAGCCTGTGCAATGTCCTCCAGTGGGCAATTCAATTGGGCCACTAAGGACATAGAAATGTGACAAATCTGAAAAGATGTGACTCGCAGAAGCCTCCTCACCTCCAAAGAGAGCCCATAATAAGTGATATGGATCAATTTCCATACCCACCTGGACAAAGGTAACCAGGGAGAAGTCCCAGGAAACTGAAGGATCCCGATGAATAGAAAGTTGTTGTCTAGCACCTCTAAAGGAATTAGTGTGGGCAACATAACACTTCAAGATCCTCATTAGACATAACAAACAATCAAGATCTGATCAGTCATAAAAGTGAGAAATAGTGGTCAGATGAATCAGTGAAAAGGATTTATTGCCTTCCCTGGCTACCACAAAAGCAGAAACCAGAGATCAGCCACCAATCCGGTTCTATCAACAGGACCCAAAAATGGGTTGGAATGAATCATAACTAGTACCCTGGGTAACATACGAATCGGTAGGAAGACCTAGAGGTGTAATCTCATCTCTTCCTGATGGAATACATTTATTGCCAAAGCCTAAGGGTGAAATACTGGAGACCAAAATGCCAATGAGTGGCCTACACATCAATTATCAGTGTTTTGAAATGAGAGACAATCCAACAGAAAACTTCACAATGCCACATCCATTCTGTTGAGAGAATCTGTTTGGATTGAGACAATTGATCTGCCACTGAAGTCATCACCCCTGGAACATGGCAAGTTAGTAGGATGATACAACAGGAGAAGTCCCAAGATATAAGATCCAAGGTACAAAGGTACTTGGACCAAGTGTCACTGTAAGACACCACTGTGGAATTGTTGAAGTGAAGCCTGAAGACTTTCCCCTTAATAAGCCCAGACCATGAGACATTTCCCCTTTGAACAGCAAGATGTTTTAAAACATTGTGTAGGGAATCCTCGTCGTCCATGCATATACCCTGAAATTCCTGACCATTGAGATATGCAGCCCATCCCTAGAGCAAGGCATCCATCCTGAGATCCATACAAGGTGGCGACATAGGAACACATGTAGTATTATTCCAACCTAACCACCTCTCAAGATTGAAGATAATGATCCTGAATAAAGACACTGGAGAATCCAGTGAATTGCTGTTCATGATCTATTGGTCACATAAAGACCATTAAAAGGATCTTGTGTGGTCATCCCAAAGGAATTAGGAATTCAAATGATGCCCACATTCCCAAAAGAGAAAGAACCATCCATGCAGTGGGAGAAGGAGAGGTGAGTAAGAGTTGGACTGCCTGTTCCATAGCTTGGAGCTGGATGGGGGTCGACTGGGCCTGACTGCGATACGAGTTGAAAAATATATCCAAACTGACAATATATTGTGTTAGAATGAGAATAAATGTCTCAGCGCTGACAATGAAACCTGCCTTAGTTGCTTCTGAAAATAGAATCTGGGTGTGATGTTCCACCAACTGAGGAGATGGTGCCAGCAGTAACCAGTCATTCATGGAATGGTGTATGCACAGGCCTAGGGAAAAGAGGTGATAAGAAAAAACTAGTACAATTTGGCAGAACACATATGATGTTGATGCTAGTCCAAAGAGCAGAGCCCTGAACTGCAGCACCTGATCTTTGTGCAGATAGTGATGGGATACCACTGCTATGAAAACATGCAGATAGGAGTCGGTAACATTGAACTTGGACATACACAATCCTAGTAAAAAATACCAACACAATGAGGAATGACTTCATTTTGAACATTGGAGGATCTAGGAACTGATATAGATGAGAAAGATTGATGACTGGACACAAATTTCCTGTTTTCTTAGGTAAAACAAACAGTTGGGAACAAAACCCTGAAAGAACTGGCATGAATCTCTCCACTGCCGCCTAGACCAACAAAACTCTGATAGACCTAGAATGAAGTTCCGAAATGCGGGTATCTCTGAGAGGCAGAAACACCATAAGTTTGGTGATAATCATGGTGAAGATGTTAACTGAATGAC